TGAGAGATGAGGAGAGAGGAGGAGAGAGAGGGTGAGAGGAGGAGAGAGGAGGACAGAGGAGGACAGAGGAGGAGAGAGGAAGACAGAGGAAGACAGAGGAGGAGAAAGGAGGAGAGAGAGGGTGAGAGGAAGACAGAGGAGGAGAGAGGAGGACAGAGGAGAGAGGAGGTGAGAGGAGGAGAGAGAGGGTGAGAGGAGGAGAGAGGAGGACAGAGGAGGACAGAGGAGGAGAGAGGAGGAGAGAGGAGGTGAGAGGAGGAGAGAGGAGGACAGAGGAGGACAGAGGAGGGGAGAGGAGGACAGAGGAGGACAGAGGAAGACAGAGGAAGACAGAGGAGGAGAGAGGAGGAGAGAGAGGGTGAGAGGAAGACAGAGGAGGAGAGAGGAGAACAGTGGAGAGAGGAGGTGAGAGGAAGACAGAGGAGGAGAGAGGAGGTGAGAGGAGGACAGAGGAGGTGAGAGGAGGTGAGAGGAGGACAGAGGAGGTGAGAGGAGGTGAGAGGAGGACGAGAGGAGGTGAGAGGAGGTGAGAGGAGGACAGAGGAGGTGAGAGGAGGACAGAGGAGGTGAGAGGAGGTGAGAGGAGGTGTTAGACTCTAAGGCTGTTGAACAAGAACAAGACACTCAATTTATTCCAGCGTGGATTACTCTCACGGAGGCGCCGGGGAGAGACCGTTCACACTGGAAATCCAATTTGGTGCCACATCAGATGTCCGGGGAGACCCTTCAAGATGCGCAGTGAAAGAGCAGAGGGGGGAGAGGGGGGAGAGAGCGGGGGAGGTGCAGGAGGAGATAAGGGGTGACTGGGGTCTGCAGATATCGTGCCAAACAGACGCAGCGACAGAAGGGGCCGAAGAGGAGCAGAGAGACAGCTCCGAGATTCTATTAGTGAGTTTTAGCGATTTCACCTCCAGACAAAACAGAAAGAAGTCAGAATGTTGTTTATGTTGCAGACCTGAGGCTTTGATGTCCGGGAGCGGGATGGAAATATTCCCTTTGAACTGATCTCGGTTCTCTCTGACTAGGATCTCAGAGTGGTTTGGATCATAACTTAGTCCTGTAGACCCAAGACTGAGGCTGTAGACCCAATACTGAGGCTGTAGACCCAAGACTGAGGCTGTAGACCCAATACTGAGGCTGTAGACCCAATACTGAGGCTGTGTACAGAGGACTGAGGCTGTAGACCGAGGACTGAGGCTGTAGACCCAGGACTGAGGGTGTAGATCCAGGACTGAGGCTGTAGACCCAGGACTGAGGCTGTAGACCCAGGACTGGGCTGTAGACCCAGGACTGAGGCTGTAGACCCAGGACTGAGGCTGTGGACAGAGGACTGAGGCTGTAGATCCAGGACTGAGGCTGTAGACCCAGGACTGGGCTGTAGACCCAGGACTGAGGCTGTAGAACCAGGACTGAGGCTGTAGACCGAGGACAGGCTGTAGACCCTGGACTGAGGCTGTAGACCTAGGACTGAGGCTGTAGACCCAGGACTGAGGCTGCCAGGACTGAGGCTGTAGACCCAGGACTGAGGCTGTAGATCCAGGACTGAGGCTGTAGACCCAGGACTGAGGCTGTAGACCCAGGACTGAGGCTGCCAGGACTGAGGCTGTAGACCCAGGACTGAGGGTGTAGATCCAGGACTGAGGCTGTAGACCCAGGACTGAGGCTGTAGAACCAGGACTGAGGCTGTAGACCCTGGACTGAGGCTGTAGACCTAGGACTGAGGCTGTAGACCCAGGACTGAGGCTGCCAGGACTGAGGCTGTAGACCCAGGACTGAGGCTGTAGATCCAGGACTGAGGCTGTAGACCCAGGACTGAGGCTGCCAGGACTGAGGCTGTAGACCCAGGACTGAGGGTGTAGATCCAGGACTGAGGCTGTAGACCCAGGACTGAGGCTGTAGACCCAGGACTGAGGCTGTAGACCCAGGACTGAGGCTGTAGATCCAGGACTGAGGCTGTAGACCCAGGACTGAGGCTGTAGACCCAGGACTGAGGCTGTAGACCCAAGACTGAGGCTGTAGACCCAATACTGAGGCTGTAGACCCAATACTGAGGCTGTGGACAGAGGACTGAGGCTGTAGATCCAGGACTGAGGCTGTAGACCCAGGACTGGGCTGTAGAACCCAGGACTGAGGCTGTAGACCCAGGACTGGGCTGTAGACCCAGGACTGAGGCTGTAGACCCAGGACTGAGGCTGTGGACAGAGGACTGAGGCTGTAGATCCAGGACTGAGGCTGTAGACCCAGGACTGGGCTGTAGACCCAGGACTGAGGCTGTAGAACCAGGACTGAGGCTGTAGACCGAGGACAGGCTGTAGACCCTGGACTGAGGCTGTAGACCTAGGACTGAGGCTGTAGACCCAGGACTGAGGCTGCCAGGACTGAGGCTGTAGACCCAGGACTGAGGCTGTAGATCCAGGACTGAGGCTGTAGACCCAGGACTGAGGCTGTAGACCCAGGACTGAGGCTGCCAGGACTGAGGCTGTAGACCCAGGACTGAGGG